TTCGACCTGAGACGAAGCCGGAGAGCCAAGCGTGGCACTTGTTACTACTAGTAAGGCACCTGTTACTAGTAGCGATGCACTTGTTCCTATTAGCTTCTTGTTACTAGTAGCGTGGCACTTGTTACTACTAAGAAAAAGAAAACAAAAGAAGCTACTAGGAACAAGTGCATCGCTAGTAGTAACAAGTGCCTTACTAGTAGTAACAAGAAGCTATTAGTAACAAGTGCCACGCTAGTAGTAACAAGCCGGAGATGAGGTGCCATTTCTTGTTGAGGTTTCTACAAGCCACGGGCCCAGGTCTTTAGTGTGGCTGAGTCGGTTGACCTGACTCGGCTGCACCGTCCGCATGTTGAGGTTTCTACAAATGTTGAGGTAGTCGTAGATTAAGACTGATCCCTAAAGGTTTCGATCAAACAGTGGGACAATACAACCTGGTTCTATCCAAAACAACCGGGAGTGCCGACCCAAAACGACTTCGATGGGACCTCCATTTGGGGCGGTGAGTCTGTTCTATAAGTGAGCTTCACCCCCCATTTGGGGCGCTACACAGTAGGTGAAAGATGAAAGACACCGCCTCATATCACTGTGAAAATCCGCATTTGGAAGCAGAAGCATCATATACCCAGCGGCGCAGCCGTTAGCGCGTGCTTCTGAATCAGGCTGCGGTCCTGCAACTGCGGGATTTGTCCTCCGCCCCTTCAACCCATTGGGCTTGCCTCGAACCTAAGAGCAAAAGGAACCTAAGAGCGATGGCCTCCAACCTGGTAGTGATGGCTTCCCATCCTGTTGCCCGAAGTACTGCTATAACTCTGCCACAGTCCAGCCACGCCCAAGCACTTTAGTGGCCAATTTGAGTGGTCCCTGAAGTAGCCCCACGACGTGTGAAAGAGAGTTCGTGGTCGCCACCGCGTATCTTCTAGAGAGATCGAGAACGATCCGTTCGTGTTGTGTTTGAAATCGTGAGTTCTGCGGCCCAATATCCGAGCCCCTCAGGTGTAAATTCACATCAAGACGTACACTCTGACGAACACAGAAAACATGGAAGTGGAGGTGAACTCCCTCATGTTCGCAAAGGCAACTCGTCTTCCAAGGGCTCATACCATCCACTTCCATGTGTTCTGTGTTCGTCGGAGTACCGTCAATTCTCTAAGAAATGTTCACGGTCTCACCACGTCCCACAAAACAGTGCCCCAGGCGGGAAGGAAGCAAATGGAATAGGCCACAAGAGAACGAAAAGCTGAGATTCTATGACGGAACGGGACCCTGAAGAAATTTATTCACGCTCTCAGAAGTGCTTCTAGCGGCATTCTCGCGTGGATTTCATCAAATCTGGTAATTCCATGTATATAATGACATAGACATTGGTTGGACATTGCAAAACTACAACCACGAAGTTAGTGTTTGACAATGTTTCACCATCTTTCACCATGGTTCGTGGTGGACTGTGGGAAGCACTCCTTGACGGCACAGCTCCCGTCAGCACATTCGCCCAGGGCCTGGCGAAGGCTCGTCGTCTCGTTGTGTTGCCTTCTCGTCTGGGCACAAAGGGCTCACAAAGAGCTCCACCTAGTAGCTTCTTGCTACTAGTAACTAGTGGCCTCCAAGCTACTAGCGATGGCTTCCAAGCTAATTGCGACTAATAGCGTTCATCGTGTTTTTCCTTTTTCTTTCTTCCCTTTCTCCCTTTCTTCCTTTTCTTTCATTTAGAATTGTCTTAAACAAATAAACTCATATACAGTTCATACAGGTTCATGCCGTCTCATCATTTTTCACCGTGTTGCTTTTGACGGGGTGTTTTCAGACCGTTCGTCTTCTCCGCGGACCGGGGCGTTGCGATGTGTCTGTCGATCCAAAAGACGGGTGGCCGTCGGGGCTGTGGCTTCGAGGTTCGTTCGCTGAAAGGAAAGGGTACAAAGGTCACCGAAACGAGCACGCACATTTGTGAAGGGTCGTCCCCCAGGGTGTCACTTGAAAAACAACATCTTCACTATCAGTTATTTGGGACCGGTTGTTGATCTTGAAACACCGAAGAGGCTCGGGCTGCGTCTACTCCCTTCTTGGGTCGAAGCCAAAGTGACTTCTGCCACTTCGTTCCACTTCATTCCACCTCCATGTTTGGGTCATGTTCCACTTTGCTCTAAAAGTTGCACGATCCATCCAACGGATGCAGGCGACCCCAGGATTTCCGAGGCCGGGGGCCCGCCGGTGGAGAGCGCAGCGCGCCGACCAGCAGCGAAGGTGCGTGCTTGGTACATCCGACTCGACTGCTGACGTGAACGCAAGGAAGGTGGAGAAGGAGCCCCAAAAACCAGGATTACCGTCATCCAAACACACCAAGAACCCCCACATACCTGACACGTGGGGAACCAACGGGACTTTCGCTGGCCACGGTCCTTCATCTGGCGACCGAAGATCCGAAACGGTGCCCGCTCCTTGTAGTTTCTTGTTACTAGTAGCGTCCTTGCTCCTAGTAGCGATGCCCTTTGCTCCTAGTAGCGTCCTTGCTCCTAGTAGTAAGGCCCTTGTTCCGTTCGTAGGTACCAGGAGCGCCCCGCTTCGTCCTCGCTCCGTTCGAGTCGTCCTTGCCCTTTAGTTACTCTCGTAGCTTCTAATAGCTTCTTGTTACTACTAGTAAGGCACTTGTTACTACTTGCGTTGCACTTGTTTCTAATAGCTTCTTGTTACTACTAGTAAGGCACTTGT